CCGCTGCACGTGCGCACGGGCAGGGTAACGCTTCCAGATCTCGATAACGGCTGGGCCGATTGTGATCAAAGTTGGCACACCGTTAGGGATCGGCGAGTAGGGTGCCGTGAACAAGTCAGATGGGACCCATTTTGCACGTGCGCACGTGCAGGGTGACGCTTCCATATCTCAAGAACGGCTGTACCGACTGTGCTCAAAATTGGCATACCACTAGAGACTGGTTAGTAGGGTGCCGTACACCAGTCAGTTAGTATGTATTTTCATGTGCCACGGTTGGGGTGCAGCTGCACGTGCGCACGGGTAGGGGTCGTTTCCCGATCTTGGAAACGGCTGGGCCGATTCAGATTAAATTTGGTACATCGCTAGAAACCGGCGAATAGAGTGCCGTGCACAAGTCAATTGGGACCCAGGTTGCACGTGCGCACGTGCAGGGTGTCACTTCCAGATCTCGAAAACGGCCGGGTCGATTGCACTCAAATTTGGCAAACCGCTAGAGACCGGTTAGTAGAGTGCAGTGCACGTCAGTTCGTGACGCACCCGCTCCGGGCTGCACGTGCAAGGCTCATCCTCTCGTTTGGCGGCGGGCGTTTTTGCGGCGTTACAGAGGTGCTTGCTCAAACAACCTGCGGTCCCGCGATGCGGAGCCCAGCATCGCAGATGCTGGTAACCGCAGGTTGTTTCTTCATTGACAAACACTATTCGTTAGAATTGTGTTTTTCTATTGAAAAACAACCGGAGCGGTCCTTCTCCGGGCTATGTTTTGCATGGTTGGCAGCGAATCAGTACAACTTGATTGGGGCCTAAACGAATCGCTCAATCTTCGTAAAAAGTTCAGGGTATGAGCTCCCGCAGGCGATCTACCTGATGGCACCGGTCGCTACTCGCTCAGAATTCTTTTGCGCGTGGCACGTGCGATTCCATTTTCCCCATGTTAAGTCAACGGGGTTTTGGACACTTTTTGCGCGATCGCGAATAGCGGAAAAAATCGCCGATCAAGGTAGGGTTTGCTGCACCCCATTTTATGACCGACACGTTCAGGTACACGCCCGTGGGCGCCGTATACCCGTCAGAATTCGTTAACTTGAGTTGCACGAGTTTGAAGTTGAACTTTTTTTGCTCCCCATGCTAAGTCAATGGACGTTTTTGCAGAGACATTTTCATTCGTTCATTGCACAAAATTATATGATACGATTTTGTTTAAACTTTCAGGACCTGTTGAGAAACGACCATAGAACATGTTGTTATATTTCGTTAAGATGTCAGAATTCGTTGTTTTGGGGTAATCGGCACGTGCATTTTCCCATAGGGTTAACATGGGAAAAAAATAAAATGCGATTTGCGAAAAATTTCGTCAATTATATTTGCTGATATTTTTAGGGTCGGATCTCGGGCTGGCACCCCAACTGACGGTGGTAACTACTTAAAATATAATTGACAAAATTTCGGGTAATCGTCACAAACAGTTACCCCATGTTGAGCCTATGGCGATTTCGAAAAATTATTTTCAAATCGATTTTGTCAAAAATTTCCACGTTAGATTTTGAAAATGTTCCAATATGTTGTGCCCCAGGGTGTCGGCTACCACATGGTATGGGTCAGATATGGGGCGATTGAAAAGCACGTGCCACGTGCAAACGTGTTTGATGGGGTAACCTCCGGGAAAATCCGACATTGGCCTACTCGGGGTCCTCTGGCGTGGAAACGACTTCAACTAGCGACACCAAATCAGTGCAGCCGGTGAGCAGATGAGTCCAGCTTGTCGCACTAGTGGTCACGTGTCGCACGTGCTATTGCACGTGCCGTGGCAGGGGGTCAATTTTGGTGCTTAAATATACTAGCATTGTGAAATGCAAGGAGTGGGGGAAATAGCCGTCAGGCCGTCAGTTTTTATGATAGGGTCGATCTGAAAACGGGTTTAGGCACAGAATGAAGACGTCTAAAAAACTGCTATCTCGGATTTTTTGTAAAATGAAAAATTTCAAATTCTGGGGAAGTTATATATTCGAAAGGTGAAATTTCCCTAAATTTTCCCGTTTTTCGAGTTTAGCCGTCCACTGTTCGGAGACGGTGACACCGGCCGGGGTCATCTTTTACATGCTGATGGCCACGTCGATGGGTCATCACGTGGCGTGAACGGTGAAGCTATCAGAGGTCCGGCACGTGCCACGTGGCCACGTGTTTGAGTCCCGTACCTCCCAGATTATCGTGTGTTTGCCGATTTGTGGCCTTATAGCACGAAAACAGCACAAGCCAGGAACACTGAAATGGTGCAATCAGTGAGCGGACAAGTCCTGCTTACACCACCGGCGGTCACGTGGCACACGTGCAAATTTGTGCACCTCCGTTGCGGAGATATTTTATAGTGAAATATTGAAATAAACATAACTTTGTCAGTTTAAGTCCAATTGGGCTAGATTTTAGTGGGTGGATAAAATTGTTAAGCGACAGGAACGAATGCGCCACGTTTGTTGCAGTGCGCCACGTTTGTCTCAAAGCGCCATTTTTGCCGCAAATCACAGAATGTGCCTAACTTTATCGAACATGGGACGATTAGGATGCGCTTTGATTGAGGGATGGCTGCTTAAACGGCAGATATGAATTCACCACACTTGCCGCAAGGCGCCATATTTGTCTTAATGCGTCAGTGTTTAGTTTAACGGACGGCGTGCGTTTTTTTTGCGGCAGTGTTTGTAGCACACCGACTCCCGTGTGCACGTGCAAGGCTCATCCCCTCGTTTGGCGGCGGGCGTTTTTGCTGCGTTTTCAAAGGTGCTTGCTCAAACAACCTGCGGTCCCGCGATGCGGAGCCCAGCATCGCAGATGCTGGTATGAGGGGTAGGGAACTATTTTACATTTGCTAAGATAAATGATATGTCAAAGCAATTCACTATAAATTTCCTATAAATTCACTATATATTTTGAAGTTTTGAAGTTTACAGAGTAAATAATTTAGGCCTTTGACTTTTAACTTATAATGAATTAATGAAAACCACTTCCAAACATACAGGGTGTCCCATAAGTTCGTTCTCACATTATGTTTGCATGTGAAACAGAGTACATTGCGTTTTGATATATTTATGACCCCTCAATGTGCTCCTCATTTAATAGGCAAACACATGAATACATGCTGCGGCATGCCAACCGGCATGTTTGGCTGCATAGCAGGCTTAAATTTAACCCAGACTGACTTGGCATGCGCCGTGAGCTCCTCGAGGCTGGAACAGTGCTACGCTTCGACGAGCCTCAATTTCAGCATAACCAACAAATTTTAATGAAATTTTGATCCGATGAGGTGCCTGGCATGTGATCTTGCCACAAACGCCTGTCACAGTCTCCTTGCACCGCTTTTAAGCTTTGCTTGACCTGTGCACTGATGCACTGTCTTGCCTGAAGATGGGCCTACGACCTCCCGGATGCCATTTTCTCCTCTATAAATGTGTTCATACTCGCGGTTCGAGTTCAGCTTGAGGGCTGAAACTCCTCCTAGATGTTCTTGGAAAAGCATTCTGTTTCCCAAAACTGTTTCTGGGTTGCCACTTGCAACTTGGTCAACTCCAGAACGCCTATAACCCCACAACACAGTGACCCTGGCCTTTTGCATAGGAACATAACGGGACGAAACGGAGGCCTCCTCTTTCGCCCTTATGGGGTTGTTTTCCGGTTTGGACGGGTGTTTCATCTCGAACATGGACTAGTTAGTCCAGATGACCTGGTTGATGTCATCAGCCCTCTAGTTTTGTTTAGCCTCAGGCATAAATCATAATGAAACTCATGTTTGGCCATTTTAAGACGTTTTTAACTGTTTTGTGCCCTCCGGTAAGCAAAGCTTAAGTCACATTGAGTTATGTACCCCGAAAGAACACTCTTAGACAGCTGGTAATCCATCCTGAAAAGTCTGCTTACCAACTTTCTAACCCTTTGACTATTTTGATGGCCAATTTGGCGCCACACAGTTTTGGCCACTTGGCTCACTCCTGAGGGCTGACTGGAAAGAGGATAAACTTGCAGTGATTGACTCCCGACAAATCATCGGCATCACTTTCTGACTGTGCGTCCAGTTAGCGATGGGCATTGGCTACAGACTAGTATGCCTCAATCACCCTCAATCGTCGCGAATGGTCACGTGTTGACTAAATAATGAGACGTACCCGTATCGGAGACCTCTATGTTGCGGCGCTAGCCGTCTCTGTAGGAAGCGGGCTCTCTAGCAAAAACTATTTTGTCTACAGAAATTAGCTACTGTGGAGCATATTTCTACCAGCCATGGCAACCACGTAAGCTCAGTTACGAACCAATTTCAGCGTGCCTTTAAAGGGACCCTCCCACCTTTAAAAAAGTTTATGAATTGGCATGAAAGTGATGTCGCTCGGTTCAGAAAGAGCGAAAACGAATATCTACCAAATTTCACCGAAAAATATTCACCGGTTTTCAAGATATTAGACTTTTACTTTTGTTTACTTTTTGGGATCTCCGCTGTTCCTAGCGACTTTATTTAAAAGTGCGGCATTTGTTGCGCGCAACGCAGCATATACCACCGCGTGCTACAAAACGTTTTAGTCAAACATTTACGGACTTTCGAAAGCCTGATGACGTCATCAGATTTAAGTGCCTATACCAATACATTGTGGCACTTATTTGCACAGATGTCAAAATCAAACTCAAATTTCTTTGCGATGAAGTAATTGCTGGAGAAACGGTTTTCACGGCACTGATTTTCAAAGAACGTCCATCAAGATGGCTATCTCAACTCAAATCTAATGTTAAGGTGGGACAGTCCCTTTAAGCAAGAGAGTCTAAAAACGTAAAATTTAGGTGAGAACGAACTTATGGGACACCCTGTATCTGGCTATTCATACCTATCTGAATTCAGATGAAATGGGAGCCTGGAGGGCTGGAAAGGAGATACAGAGAGCACACCAGCTGGGCCCTGGCTCTATAAAATTGAGAAAGATCTATTGTCCTTATCAGATGTTGCAGGCTGTGTGCATAAAAGTACTCACCTGATCGCTAAAAGAATTCCTTAAAATGGTAGCAACAAGTCCTAATTCCACTTATTCCTGAAAAAAAAATATGGATAATGTTCAGAATCCATGAAAGCAGTACCTACCCCCAACAAAACAGCATTTGGATATTGTCATTGGATGTTGGAAGCTGACAGGGGGTTGAAATGAGTTCCATTAGTCAGTTCTTTAACAGCATGCTGCTGGTTTCCTAATACATGGGAATTGCCAGTACTGATTGCTGCAGCCTCTTGTCGCTGAAACACACTCACATGCATTGCACCAATGAGAAGTCTGGAAACACCAGCATGCTGCTAAAAATTACCAAAAAGCACAAAGATGTGTTTGTGTTTAATTAACAATGTCAAGTTGTTGAATGCATTTTGCATAGTGCTGTCCAGGTAATCCTGCTGTTCTCCTTTTCAGTAATCCAAAAAAAAAAAAATCCTTAATCATTATCAACTTGATCATTAACAATCATTAACCCATTAATGCCGGAATTTTTATTTTTTGATTCTTTAGTTGTCCTTAACAAATGTTAGCCACACGGGTCCCAGTAAGAAAACTGTGCAAGCTTAAAAAAATTGTTCCATCAGTTCTCAAGTTATAAGTATGGGTCATAAATGACCCAACCGGCATTGGCATAGTCACAAATAAGCAGTTATCACGAAAACCGATTTAGCTAGATACCTTATTGTGTATACTGTATAGCGGTCTCAGCCAAACAATATTAAGAGGCACTGCATTGCAATGCTTTGCAACGTCTCATTGACGAGGCCGTTGGTGCCGCTGGCAGGCCTGTGGTGCCCCTGTTAGGCCTCTGGTGCTCCAGAGGGGACACCATAGGCCTGACGGGCCTGTGGTGTCCCTGGAAGGACTGTGGTGCCCCTGGGCCCTGACAAGCCTGAGGTGCCCCTGACAGGCTTGTGGAGCCCCTGACAGGTCTATGGTGCCATTGCTAGGTTTGTGGTGCCCCTGGCAGGCCTGTGGTGCCCCTGGTGGGCCTGTGGTGCTCCTGCTAGGCCGCTGGTGCCCCTGGGTCCTGGCAGGACTGTGGTGCCCCTGACAAGCCTGAAGTGCTCCCGACAGGCCCGTGGAGCCCTTTACAAGCCCATGGTACACGTGCGAGGCTGGTGGTGCCCCTGTGAGGTCGATGGTGCCCCTGGCAGGCCTCTGGCTGGTGCCCCTGGCAGGTCTGTGGTGCCCCCTGACAGACCTGTGGTGCTCTTGCTAGGCCGATGGTGCTCCTGCAGGCCTGTGGTGCACCTAACAAGCCTGTGGTACCCCTGACAGGCCCGTGGTGCCCCTCGGCCGGCCGAGTCGCCGGCCCGCCCCGCGTCACGGCCCCAGACAACCGGTCCGCTCATGATATCCCAACATCGCAACACTAGGCCTGTGGTGCCCCTGATAGGCCGGTGGTGCCCCCGGGTCCCAGGGGAGGTCATGAGTGACCCATATGACCCCCTCCTTTGGATCCGCCACTGTGATCTGATCACAAACCCCAGAAATAAATAATCGTGTAATCATCAATTGCTTCCCTTGTATTCAACATACGAGAATATATAATATCACACGGGGCCGGTAAAATGTTTCATTCAGGACCGAGGGATTTGTTGAGTTTTCCGCACGAGACCGAAGGTCGAGGGCGGAAAATTCAACAAAGCCCGAGGTCCTGAATGAAACATTCCGGCCCAAGTGTGCAAGGCCCTATATACCAGGTAGGGTCGTCCGGCGATTCTACCTTTTCGTGACGTCAGCTCGTGACGTCATTTGGAGTCAAGTCTCGAAGCCCCGTTCAATCCCCATGTAAATGAGCGATTTTCGAAGCACTGTAGAATGAAGTCTGCACAAAATATATCAAACCTAAGTATCTTATCTGAAAGAGCAGACAATTTTCTGCAAGTTATCTATTACGTGTTTTTCGCTAAATCTTTTGCTTTTTTCACAAAAGCGTAAAATGTCCCCCCATGTCTCCGCAGCCTCCCTGCCGCCGGCCGCCGCGCGGTCGCGGTAGTGTAGTGGTTAGCGTGCCCGCGCAGTATTCCAAAGGTCCCGAGATCGAATCTATGCGGTGCGGAACTTTAATTGCAATTCCAAGCTGAATATACGCACATTCATAATAAATTCTTATTCGTATAGCTAAACTGTCACCAAGCTATCCATATAAATTGACTTCACCCAAAATATCGGCAAGATTCTATTAAAATATAAATTCAAATATGGCGGCTTGGACTGCCGCGTGCGTTAGGCTCCGCCCATAGCTCCGCCCACATGCGTGACGTCATTCGTGTTAGTGGACACGCAGAGAGATAGGGGACGACATGGGCCTGCAAGTGTGATATTTATTTTAGCATATGCCGTTTAATTTCCATATTTAAGCTTCTTTAACAATTTTACATTCTTGAAAGAAGTGGAAAAACCAAGACCGAATATCAAGAACTAAAAAATGTACATATTCCCTGACCAAGATAATAAACCAAGCCGACTCATCCTTGTGTCTGGCTGTGAGTTGGATTTCTATCAAACCAAGAACATCTACTTCAATCTATGTCATATGAGAAGCTCATATGACAAGATAAAAGATAAAAGAGAAGCTAACGTTCGTTTTCAGTATTAGAGAAGAGTGGAAGGTATACCTACAATCCTGTGAAGTGAGCGCTTGGTTTTCTACCCATGTCAGTATGAATAAAGTTTTTACTGATCAATGTGAAATGCGTTTTTTTTTTTGTCAATTCATTACACTTGTAAAAGGCATGAAATTGGCGCTACAGTAGGTGATTAATTAATCTGTCAGTACATTAAGATTTAAAATATTATCTTATTGAAAACCAACATTTACAATCTCTTCAATAGTTCAAAGCGACCAAATGCAACACGTCAGTTAACGTTAGATTTATATCAGTTAAGCTCTTTTCCAGCGCCTTCCTCCGTCTCAGGAAATGCTTCAAAAGTTCGCTGGTAAAATGTTTTGCCCATGGGCCGAAACCTTTGCTCAATTGACTTCAACATTATGCGGTTTAATCCAAAAAGCTTTTACCGCACGCTCGCGCTAATGCTAAAGACATACCTACTCCGGCATATGCTAAAATTGACAACACTATTGCCGGCTGGGTCATTTATGACCCAAGGATATTTATTGAGGAAAAAAGTTATCCGATGGCGACAAGAAGGGCAAAAATATACATCATGTCTTTTTCAGACAAATTTAGATGCCAGGTGGACGATCATTCAATAGATAGTAAAGTGCAAACATAACATAATATTACTTTTTGGGACAGCGCGCCATTGCCAGTGACCGGCGGCTGTGCAGTCCCGTCGTCTTTGGCTCCAGAAACTTCAGTGGATGAGCTCACACAAGTTTTATGCGGCTCTGAGTCTGACGCTCGTCGCTGAACCTACAAATCCAACAAAACACACGCACAAGTCCCTCAAAGTGCCACTTGCCTCCATTTAGAAAAAATGTTAAGATGTTGCTTTTGGGTCATATATGACCCAAGCAGCATTCATGGGTTAACAACTTAATCATTCAAACGCAGGTGGTAGTGACCTTGAAGTTCCCATACCCCTCATGTGCAGTATGCAGAAAGACCAAGCTTTGCATGCAATAAGAAAAAGCTGGCAGTTAAGCTTTTAACTGTTAAATGCTAATAATTCAATGGCACTTAAGCTAATTATAATACACATTTGCGTATCAGGAACAACACAAAACACAACACGTGACAAAGGCAGTCAGCAATACGTAACAAGCAGCCACTTCCTAAATTGAATGAAAATTTACCTAGGAACCTAACAATAAAATTAAACAATAAAACGCAGTTCACACTTGCCCGTAAGGTCTGCCGGTGACGGGCCCGACACCGTCAAAACGGCCGAAACCGACGGAGCGACGGCCGTCAGGTCGACGGGCATGTGTGAACCGGCGGCGTTCGACGGCCGGCAACAGCTGACTGCGCCGGCGCCGGACCTGACGGCCGTCGCTTTGGAAAGTTCAGCAATGTTCAACTTTTGACGGTGACGGGCCCGTCGGTTTGAATGTCTGCGTGTTGGAGGAAGAGGAAAAGGAACGTTATCATGCAGCATGAAGCTTATATGCATTTTTAGGATCATTTATACCATTTTCCATCCATTTGTTGAGATGAAAGTATTTATTACGGCACGATATCTTGAGATTCGATCCCTGATTTAAATCAACGAACCGATGTGTCTTTCATTTAAATAAAGTTGCAGCATTATTTGACATAAAAATGTAAATGCGTGGTAATTTATTTCTGTAATTCAAATAATATTTTAACCTCTCGGCCTCTACCCTCTCCCCCATCCCCTTCCCCCATCTGCGTCAATCTCGAAAATGGTGCGCCATTTCTGTCACATTATATGGCAGCCAATGGGAGCTACCAAATCTCAACTTTCGTTTGACGGGCTGCAGGCCGTCAGGTCGACGGTGACGGGCCCGACACCGACAGACTGACGGTCATGTGTGAACTGCGTTTAACACAATAAAAAGATACCTGACTGAGCTTAATTCGAGCTTCTCACCCATACTGATGCATCCAGGGGGGTGACACCGTAATGCTGTGCCATAGGCCGATGTTGTAGCCAGCTGATGAGCAGGAATGACGTCATCGGCCCATGATAGCCCTGACCAATGTGATCCAACCCATTGCGACTTAAGGTGACCTCTGTGACTTGGCCTGACCCATCGTGACCCTGGGTGACCTCTGTGACCTGACCTGACCCAGGGTGACCTGAGGTGACCTAAAGTGACCTTTGTGACCTGAAATGACCCAGCGTGACCTAATTTGACCTTTTTATCTGGAATTCACCCATTTGGACCCCTTCGTTCAGCCTTTCGCGTAAGTACAAGACTTCTGAACTGGTTATTATCGCGTAAATGCCTCATTCGTGATAGCGCCGTGTAGCAAGCGGTTCACCTAGTCCTAGTGTGAACGCGGTCACGGCTTTCAGCAAGCTGGCACGCGGAGCCCGGAGGTCTTAGCTCCGCGTTGCCGGAGCTGAGCGCCAGCTGGACGACACGCGGCAGGAATGTATACGGTCACTGGCTGGTCTTCATGTCAGCGAATGCCGAATGGCATGGCCAGCTCAAGCACAGGCCGCTGACTCCAGGCGGCCAGCTGCGCCTGCAAGCTGTCTGCCATCAAGCCGGTGGCGGCGGCGTGGCCAGCGTGCCGAGCAGCTGCACCGCGCGACACCGCAGCCGGCAGCGGCCCCATCTTCGACTAGCACCGGCCTCGCCGAGCGCCGCCCCGGCGTCAGCTACTACTGGTTCAGGTCGGGCACCATGGCCGCAGTGGCTCGGCGCAGTCGGCCCAGAGCGCGGCCAGCTCGGCCAGCACCGGCAGCGACAAGTCCAGAGCGTCCGTGGCACGGCTGACCAGCGGCAGGTGGATGCAAGTCCCCGCCGAAATTTGGTTGCATCGAAATTCGCCACGACATTCAGTTCCTAGGGCCACAGCGTTTCCATGCTATATGCTCTGACTTTGTGAAGCGATATTTCCAACGCTTTTACTTTTTTTGTATATGGGCTGCACCTTACCCCATCAGCCCCGCGTTGAGACAGAACCCACCGGCCAGGCTCCATCTGCCTCTCCCGCACTAACAGAATCACTTAATCAGCCTAACATAATCAGAATCGCCGATCAGTTCCGGCCGGTACAGCCTGTTGGTCTCTGAGCCGATGGCACCGGAGCCGCAGCGGTTAGCCAAAGCTAAGTGCTCCAGAGCCCCGTCAAACGACTGAGGAGGCACCTAGCAGCAGCACAGTGCCGTCGACCGTTCCCGAGCCGATAACCAAAACTACAATGAGTTCCACACAGTCACTATGTCCGCCGTCGATGAACAGTTGCCCCCTCCCCCTCCCCAACTCCAAGCTGGATCCGCGCTTGAACTCAGTAGTTGACAGTATTTTGTTGACAGCATTTTTGGTTTTAACTTCTATGCTGTCTAGCCACGAATGTGCATTGTGCCTAGCTTGGCATTTATATCAACCTATGACATGCTAATGATCGTGTACAAAACAGCTGGTTTTGTGTTTTGGTCACCTAGTTTCTGTCGTTTCTGTCTACCCGTTTGCTACGGGCGGGCCCACGGCTTAGGTACAGCAGTCGGTACCGTCGGCACCGACTGCAAAATAGAGAAAGTTGGCTGCAATTTTTTGCTGTTGAAAGGTTGCAAGGATATTGAGTCAAACGGTTAAGAGGCCGCTGAACGTTTATTGCATTCCAGTTGGATAAAATCGATCACGAAACAATTGGCGCAAACGCCATTCAGTTTCGCTGCCGTGGGTGGGCGGAGTCGGCGGAGTATGGGCCGATGACGTCATCCTCCCGCCGGCCGTGATTCGCCCCGATTGGCCGATGTCCATACCTGGTTAGAGGGCCTTGGATGCATCATTTTCTTACAACCAAATCCGGCATGATATGGCACCATGCTTTAGAGGGACCCTCCCACCCCACCTTAACATTAGTTTTGAGTTGAGATAGCCAAGTCTGCGGCCAGGCTCAGAAACCACCATTTATCCTGAGTGCTGTTCACGGGCACCTGCGGTAGCTGCGGTAGCTGCGGCTCGGCGGTCAGCCGGGTAATGACGTCACAGAAAGTGGGGATGGGGCGGGTGGTGTGACGTCATACGGCTGCGGCCGGCTGCGGTCGCCTGCGTCTCCTGCGGTCGAAACGATCCGACCGCAGCGGCCGCAGGAACCATTTGTCATGCAAAGTGGCGCGGCAGTTGCGCATTCGTGTAACTTGGGCGGAAAATTGACACGGCCGCCTCGGACGAACGCGTGATGACGTACGCACAAGTGGGCGGGACTTACAGCCTGCGATCTACCGCAGCTACCGCAGTTACCGCAGGTGTCCGTGAACAGCACTCTGGTCGCAACCCCCGCAGCTTTATGGTGTTCAATAAATTTCTTCCCTTTACTTGCAGGGTGGGACCACGTGGTCCCTATCTCTTAACCATTACGGGAATCTGATGACGTCATCAGGCTTTCAAACGTCCGTTAAATGTTTGACTAAAACGTTTAGTAGCACCGAGCACGCGGTGGTATATGCTGCTTTGCGCAACAAATGCCGCACTTTCAAATAGTCGCTAGGAACAACGGAGATCCCAAAAAGTAAACAAAAGTAAAAGTCTAATATCTTGAAAACCCGTGAATATTTTTCGATGAAATTTGGTAGATATTCGTTTTTGCTCTTTCTGAACCGAGTGACATCACTTTCATGCCAATTCATTAACTTTTTTGAAGGTGGGAGGGTCCCTTTAATCTACCTGTTGAATGTCAAAAAGCACATGATACAAATTCATTTCACAATATCAGGTCATTAATTCGGCCAATTGTACTTACCTGAAAATAACTGAGCCAAAAATATCAAAGGAAACTAAGCAAAAAATAGGAAAAATTGTAGAAAATAGCGCCAATGAACCTGAACCCCGCCGTTGTTTCTGCTGTTTCGGTTGTTGACAGGAAACTAGCAGAAGGGAGGGGAAGATAGAGAATGTATCTTATCAAAAGAAAGCTACAAAGCTAAGTAAAATGGAACATATGTGTGTAATTATTTAATTTTTTAAGTTTTGAACATCGAAAATAGTCGATATGCCAAAAAATTGTTTGTATTGAAAAGAATTAACACCGATAATTTCTTACCGATGATGCCCGCCACAATTTCCTCATCTCTAAATTTGTGGCGCATGTGATTCAAAATGAAGCAGTTAAAGGGATTATCAGGGTTTAAAAATTGAAAGGAATCGGCATAAATTTCCAATCAATGAACTCCCCAGACTCTGCCGATTCTAAATATATGCATAAAATGTAAATCGGTACCAAAATTTGCGAGATATGGCCGTTTCAAAATTGACAAAATTGTACTTACTCACGCAAAACAAGTACTTGGGCGGCCAAGTTGGCCCATCACTAAAATGTAAACAAAGAGCAGCCTTGGGAACTTTCGCCAAGGCGCCGCACCGCACTGTCGATTTCCACAAGACGGGCCTTGTCTGTTTTGTTTTTGTCTTTTGTTTTTAGGGCCTTGCAACAAGATTTCAGTGCTTGGCATTGAATTTGGATATGAACAAATTGAAGATTTGCTTTTCAATAAGACAGCAAGAGTTATCAACATTGCCAAAGTTATTATTTTGATTTGGGTGTGATTTGAATAGCTTGAGCTTGTTTGCTGATCATCAAATCTTGATTAATATCATTTAAATGTCAACAATTTTCAAGGGTTAACTTGAGTGTTTTATTTCAATAAATTGAAATGTAAGTGCATCAGGCACAAGAGCTAAGTTTCAATCTGATTATTTTGTCAAGAGTGGTCAATCTAATGTAACGTCTTGCGAGAAAGCTTACCTAAGTGACTGAAGAAAGCGCTACCTACAGTTTTTCAAGATCTATGTTGATCTGTTTTTTCGAACAACAGGTTGTACAACATGATGTTGTGACATGACCTCTGTGTCCTGTACGTCTCCCCTGCTGCTGCAGCAGAGCCCCGGCTTCAACTATAGTTTGTTATGGGTGGGCTCTCCGTGAACGTCTTGGTGCGTTTCTACATATTGCTGCTGTGAAAGGACGGTACATGAAAAAATATGTAACTTGTATGTTTTTTATTGCCCTGGTACCTACTTAATGTATATTTTTGTTGTTTATGAGTGATAAATGAATATATTTTGAGGAAAATTGAGGCATTTCAGTTTTAGTTTGTGGAACAGAACAGAAGAAGCTGCTGAGTGCGGATCATGCTTTAATTGAGAGAATCATCCTCAGTTATCTACATATAGGCATGCTTTGTAAGCTCCTTGCATTTTGCCAGCTTCTACTTGCTAGTCAAAGTTGTAAGAAGGGTTAGGGAGAACAATTAGTACACATGCCACCATGTGCAATCACCAAACGAATGAACGTGAGGGCCAAGTCCTTCACACAGCATGGATGCTTATAGGTACTGCACTAATGTATAATGTTCATTATGTTCATATTAGCAACTCACCCAGGCAACCTGCCTTGTGGTATTTCTGAGTTTAAGATTTTGTAAGACTCACACTAATCATAAGGTAAATTATATTGATATGTATGGATGAACAATGTGCAAAGGGGTCGCACGTGCCTGCTCAGTGCTCAGCCATGGATGCACGTGCCTTCTCAACAATGGGCGTGCTTGCAGACATCTCCATGGACGAACAATGTGCAAAGGGGGGGGGGGGCGTGCCTCCGCGGCCGCCTGTTGGCTCAGCCGCTGCTGCTGCTTGGCGCCGCTGCTGAGCGCTGCCGGAGACGCCGCTCGCTGCCGGAGCTGCCGGAACAGTCACCGGAGCTGCCGCCCGCTGCCGGAGCTGCGGGAGCCGGGCCCGCCGCTCATCTGTCAGGACCGCCGACGGCAGCACGCCCGTCTGTCAGGGTCTGTCAGTGCCGGCAGTGGACGCGCGCGGGTGCGGGCCGGGTACGGACGCGCGCGGGTGCGCGCCAGGTACGGGTGCGCGCCGGCTATGGACGCGCGCGCGCTTGCGTGCCGACGATGGGCGCGCGCGCGTGTATGCCGACCATGGCTGCCGCCCGCTGCCGGAGCTGCGGGAGCCGGGCCCGCCGCTCATCTGTCAGGACCGCCGACGGCAGCACGCCCGTCTGTCAGGGTCTGTCAGTGCCGGCAGTGGACGCGCGCGGGTGCGGGCCGGGTACGGACGCGCGCGGGTGCGCGCCGGTACGTGCCGGGTACGAACTCGCTTGGGTGCGCCCCGGCTGTGGACGCGCGCGGGTGCGCGCCGGGTACGGACGCGGCGTGCTCGCCGGGTAAGGACGCGGCGCGCGCTTGCGTGCCGACGATGGGCGCGCGCGCGTGCATGCCGGCCATGGCCGCGCGCGTGCGCCCCAGCCATGGACGCGCGCTAATGCGCGCCGGCGATGGGCACGCACGTGCCTACTCGGCAATGGATGAGCGACGAGCGTGCCTTCTCGGAAATGAGTATACATGCAGACATTTCATGGATGAACGCTTTCAATATGTTCAATGTGTTGAGACGGATCTGAGTAAACTGGAGAGAAACTAGGATAGTTTTAGTCCTGCTCAACTAGTTCTGCCAATAAGTACAAACACCACCTTGCTGCCAACTGCTTACCAAATACCGCATCTGTTGTACCCTTGCATGATGCATATGTACATACAGAAAAAAATACAGTCTGTTGAAATCTGAAAACATACACTGCTGAGCACTGTGGATGAATCTGTATGAACCCTGTCAGTTGGTGACATACCAGGGAAATAAGCTAAAATTAGAGCGCTCTATTTATTGCTCCTGCCCCATGTTGAAGAGATACCCCTAAAAGCGTGATCTTTTATCGGCCCTTACGCAGCAAGGCAGTACTTCTCAGACCGGTGGATGGTATCAATAGAAAGAGAATGCGTCAAACATTAACATGAATTAATTAAAATAACATGAAAATGTTAATTAAGCGTGGAAATTAGTCCCAAACTTAAGCTAATTATTGCTCCTACCTCGGCGACGGCGCTCCCCGCAGTCAGCGGAGAAGCTAAAATAAAAGCCACCATCCTCCTCCGTAAGTCAATTTTAGAGCGGCCGAGCGCGGCCGTGTGGGCCGATGCGGGGCCACCAAACTGAGGTGAGACGTGGCTAGCAATTGCGAACTGCCATAGAAATCAATATCTTAAGACGTACAATATGGGATGATTACTCTGAAGCTGGAGTGAAAGCATGAGTAGATTGCAAGAAACGAAATGCATAGATTGGTTGAATTATGTACAATAGGCACGGCTCAGATGAAGCCATTTCTTTGATGTTGACATTTGACATAACCCTTCCTCTCCTCACCTACGTTAAGTACGTTGGCAGTTACCGGCATAGTTTTTTAGCACGAGTGTAATTCGCCATCGGACCGCAATGCATGTTGCTAGGCTGCTGCAGTTACAACGAACATATGAATACTGCCTTCATTTGTAGACGTTTGTTTTTTAGGCGGTCTTTGACGTACAAGGGGGCGGCATACCTGTCGACAACTTGAGTTTCTGCGAATTTCAAAAACTCCCAGAATTCCAATTCCTTATGCACTGTTGTAGGTACAGCTATGTTCACAAGTTTTCGTTTCCTCCTGCTCTAAAAAGGATGATATTTGTCGATTTCGTGCGTCGCTGATAGAAGGGTGCCCGGTGCGTTTAATAATTAGACCCAACGCTTTCTGCATCCGCGAGTACCTTGAAAAGGGAACAACAGTTTCCATTTATTACACTATGGGACAAGTGACAAAATGACCACTGCAACACGCATGAAACGGAGCTCATATTCCTAAAAATGTCTACAATCACTTCTTTTCTGACACTATTAGCAAATACCATCTCAAGTTAGGTGGTTGACAGACAGTCAATGGAGATCTGGGGAGACTGAGTGATGCCAATTCACCACTTAACTGATAATGAGGGCCGAGGGAAGAGAAACATGCAACATGCACAACTGACAACTTGACAAGTGACAAAACACTACCACTATTGCGCAGTGCACAACAAATTACAGCAGCCAGCCCAAAAATGCTTTTGGTGGCTAATTGCAAAACAAGTCACTAATAAATGTCTTAGTTGCAGCTGAACACTGCACAATGATCACACTGTTCACACATTGAGTGAGATGCCACAGGTGGTTTGAATCACACTTTGGTACAACTGCAAATCTGAAGTGTTGTCATGAGGTTCATGCCTCCATGATCACAGCACTTTGGTTGTGGTTGGCATAACACTTGTAGTCTGCAGAGTTCCACATGAACTGCAGACACCTCATCTGGTGGTCTTCATGTTGCTCAACTTCTTCAGGAGGCAAATGTCGACCACCCAGCGGAAGCATGGTCCTGCAGAAAAGAAAGGTAATGCATAAGGTACAACATTATCTGCTGAAACAGCCCCTTCTGTTTGCTGTTATTAAACTTTTAACATAACATAACAACATATATTCCATGTATATTACATTTGTTGAAGTAAAATACTGCCGGCTATTTCAAAACCAGAAAATGAAATTATATTGTGGCATAATTCACATGCTCAGCTATCAGTATCAAATAATAAATTAATTTAAAATTTGGCATATTCTATATAACACATTCATAGAATGTTCTACTTCACGTCACAAGGACTCACAATCTTTCTGTTGGGTGTTTGATTGACGCATTAGCTAGGTTTGTCTTAGGTTTTATTATTGCAAAAAATTTATATTGCATTATTGTATCAAAATACTGCCAGCAATAACAAAACAAGAACATGAAATGTCAATGAGCAAGCCGCCTTTCCTAAAAATGGATTACTTTGAAAAGAATTTTAGTTTCTTTTAAGGAAAAGGAGAAATGATTATCAGGTAATTATCAAAAACCACTCAACCAGCAAGTGGCTGGGTGGTTTCACAGCAAACATCAAGCCAAAACATATGCTTACATTTATCTAACAATTGAGCCATTTGACTATACACAAGGATATGTGAGCAAAATAAGAATCCAATTATCCAATGTTGACTTCCTTGCAAAGTTTATGCCTTATTTTATGAAAATGTGTCACTAGAATATGGTACTTATCATCGAATATTATTTAATTTACGATTTATTTCGATCGGAACGCACATGGGGTCCCGCGCCATTTTCGTCGACGATAAATATGATCGTGTTTCA